TGTTGGATAAATTTCTCAACCCTTTTCCTTTATTGTTGTACAACGCATCACCAAATTCTTCCCCCATAGCAGATAAGAAATTGTCTGGGGCTCTTAAATTCGCTTTTGTCGTGGTGATGAATAAATCTGCAATTTCCGCCTAGTAGATTTAAAAAAATATTGGGACTTGATATTAATATTTTTTGTGATCAATCTCACTTTTATTTTTTTTTTTTTTTTTCGTTTCCGTACTTACCATAGAGATGAGAACAAATAAACTGCACAAATCACCAAACGCTTCATGGAAAGCACCAGTTTGTCCATCAGCTTGCCAATCAGGTTGCAAGGTATCTAAGAAAGCGTGACCAGCTTCATGAGCCACCACATCAATACTTCTACACAAATAAATTGGTCGATCACTGCCTTCAAACGTATAAAAGAATCTCAGAGCCGCTTCGTCACGACTGTAATAAGCGTTAGCATCTTCTCCAGCATGAGGTTCTATGCTAAGCCTCTTATCATTTCCCCAAGGTCGTTCTAATACGGGAGGACGTCCGTCAAGATATTCCAAGTCACCGCTTAACACGTTAAATACGTATCGAACGACCGAAAAGGTATGCACAACGTCAAATCGAATATGGTTGTCTGATTCAGGAACTGTTGGAGGTGTATTATCGAATGTTAATAAGAAATCTCCATTTTCATCAGGAGTTATTGGGCTTAATGTTGATACTGTGTCGAACCAAGAATCATTCGGTCCGGCGGTTATGTCAGTGTTTATTAAGAAAAGTTCCCGTATTCCGATCTGTTTGACAGATGGGTCGGCCTTCCATACTCGAACTCGTGTTCCTGAACCAGGTGATGGAGATGCTTCAGTAATCAAATGATGTAAGCGAGTGGCTAAATGATTTGCACTCCTATAACGTGGGTTGCGCATTTGAAAGAATAAAATAAAATGAGTATACGAATCAAAAGGTTTTAAGATTCATTTTAGGATTGATTGATTACCTTTGCCATATATTTTGAATGTATTCAAACAATACAAAAGGTAATCTCATCGGTGATTTAAAATTATAACTACAAGATTTCTTATTTGAAATTGGATCAAATTCAAGTAATTTTCCGTTGTGTCCAATCACAATTGCTTTATTCGAGAAATCTATTTATTTTCAAAAAATAAAATAAAAAATTTAAATTATCATTCAAAAAAAAAAAAAAATTGAAGTTATGAGATTGACTTCAATTACCTGAATGGGGAACGAATAAAAAGAGTTGTTCTGATTTTGGAATCACATCATTATTGTATTGTTCACCATCAGAGAATCCTAAAGTTCCAGACTGAATATCTTCAATACCCAAAAATTGCCCTGAAGAATTACGCCATGCTACTAGCGGAACAGTAACTGAAAATAAAAAACATATATATTTAGTATTATTATTTAAAATCATTACTCTACAAATACAAATAAAATAAAAATGATGAAGTATATTACCAAGATTAAGGTCTTTTAAAATATATTCAATCTTTGCGCTTTCATGCGCGTATCCAATTGAATAAGCATGTGTCTCTGGATCCTCAACAAGATATACGGCGGATTCATGCCAATTATTATCGGGTCTATTATAAGATAACGTCACGTAAATATACGTTCGGAATTATTTGTTATGCAATTGTTTTTTTTTAAAAAAAAAATTATACTTACTTGCTATTATTACCCTTAAGAGATCTTCCTAGATATGTTTTATACTTCTTATTATACAAGGCATAAAAGTTACCGTAATTTTCTATAAATATCACGTGAAAATTAGTTGGCGATGGTTCTTGAACAGGAATTTAAAAGAGATGATGAACGAAAGTATCTATTTACCGATTCTCCATAGCTGGGCGGGATCGGAGAAATTATAAAGTTCGTTGGTGATTGATCCGTCCTCATTCATTGAGATGGCATGTTTGAAATCATCAATGAATGCAAAATATCTATAAATTTGTTCACCGTCCGAAGCGAATGTTGGATCGTTTGAAACGTTGAATGGAAGGTCAATATTAGGAAGTTTCCAGCTAATTTTCACTAGAGTAAAGAATAAGAAATAATAGATAATAAAATTTTAATAATGAATTAGCCGCGCTTTTAAAAATTTTGGACGGTTGAAAAAAATGCTCTACCATATTTTCCGGATAAGGCAGGTTCCAGGCCATTAGGATTTACTGCAGGATAAGGACCGCCAAGACTTAATTCAGCAATATTACTTCCTATCCTAGAACTCGATTCTTCGAAAAAGTTCTCTCTTGACCAACCAGACAATTGATCAAAGTAATCTGAAATATATAATGGAAAATTGGTTTCTATATCCTTTAGAGCATTGATAGGTGTAATACCAGTCGACCAAGTTCCGTTTCCTACACATGAAACAATATTGGCAATGGTTTTTCCAATTTCCACGAAATGATCAGGAGGGGCATTCAAGACTGTAGAAAGTTCATTGATAATAGAGGTGGCAAGTGAACCAATCCAATCTGCTGATACCGTGTAGATTGAAGATTCATGTCTTGGTGGAGTGGTTTTATTCGCAATATTCTCAAGTATAGATGATACCGTTTCTTTGGGAAGTTTACAAGCGATACAATCCGAATAACGATGAGATAATCCTCCTAGAGTATCACTATCGTACGGTTTTTGAGCTGATACCTGAAATGATTTTTGAGTAGTCATGTTGAATCGATGGTATTTTATTCTTAATAATTATTATTAAAGATGATTTTAATTACAAAGATCTGAATAAAATTTTCGTGAATGGAGAAATATCGTATTTATATTTGAAAAAATCATACTACGACCAATTTAATTTAGACCAATTATGTAAACATAAATGGATAATTCGAGGCAAGAGACACTAGTAACCGCTCAATATACAAATCAATGAATTTACATAATCGGCATCAAATTTCCGATTCAAACGATCAAATGTATTTTTTTGATATTTTTATTTTTAACGTGGGACACGTGTTGCCGCCAAAACAATAATTTATTTTTACTTTGAGATTGTAAGCTAACCTTATATGTAGATTCATAAAAGTTGAAAAAATCTATCATTTAGTTTTAGTCCTTGTCTAAAAATAAATATTTGTTTGTAATTTATTGAATCTTAAGACTATTTAGGACATTTGATTTACGAAGCCTCGAAATTCAAGCCAATAGAATGTTGATTTTTTAGGTAGACCGTGAATTTATGAATGACGTAAGGTTATATAACTTTTGCTTTGCAACAATTACGCCGCGTGTTAATTTATATTGTTGTGTGATATACAGTACCGTATTAAAAAGTTAAAATACCAAATTCTTCAACAAATTTTGATATGACAATGCACGCTTTCATTTCGTAAAGGGAACTAATCCAACATCATCTCAAAAAAAAATTTGATAAAATTTATCATTTCATAAATCACGTAAAATTACTACGTAGAAAATTTATTTTTTGAATCTCACTCGATGATAATGAAAAAAAAAAAAATAATCTACTTGATTTGGATGATGGATGATGGCCAATTTGTTTGATTCGCGCGGATGAACAAATTTGTGATCGAAACCAATTGTCTTTGTAAGATAATACGTATTTATTGTTTTATCGTTACTTCAAGTATTTTGATTAATTCAACTTGTTATTAAATGCAATAAAAACTAGATATTTTAAAGTTTCACAAAACTTAGGAAATGATTTTATATCAAAAGCTTATTAAGATTTGAAACATCTATTTTTATTTCTGCTTAATAAGCTCAATGCACCACTAAAAGGAATAAAAACTTTATTTATACTATAAATAATCAATTGAATAATAAATCTTACTTAATTCACATACCTCATCATTGCCACCAAGTCTTTCATTATGACAGACAACCTCTTGAAAAGTATCATTTCCAATAGTAAATTGAAGATCATGACTACGTAAAAATACTTGCCGATTATAATTAATACTAAGATTAATAATATCATTTGATTTCAAATATCCTTGATAATTTTCTAATTTACTATTATTAAACTTCCATTGAGTAAAATGGTAACTATCTTTTGGGTGACAACTTACTAAAATAAAATCATTCATCAATATTATACCTTTTTTTAAAAAAATATAATTCGAAATAACAAAAATTAAAAATTAATGACTACCTTCCGTGTGTTGAGTTACCGGAGATTTATAATAACGATTATAAATTCCAAGAAAGTAACTGGAATTTTTGTGTTGTAAATATATATTAGTAGTATTGATGTATGAAGCTAGTTCATTGCTGCTAAATGTGATATTCCATAAAGCATCCGAATCAAGCAAATTATTTGCAAAAACCTAAATTTATTAAATTATAATTATCGAAAATTTTATCTAACATAACCAAATATTTATAAAAGACATACCAATTGAGATGCGCTTCCAGTTGTATAATGTAAACCACTAATTGAACTTAAATATTTTCCTGTAGCAACGTGTTTTAAAGCTACAATAGATCCGTTTCTAATTAAAATTAATTCATCTATAATAATTTTCCCAAATTCTTGGATTAATTCATTTGTTGATTTGACATTTTTCATGTTCTTATAAAATTCATTTAAAATATAATCATTTGGAAGTGATAAAGCAAGGTAAGTCTTTTGTTCTTGTAAATTAATTTCAGCATCACGACAGAGTTTACGAAATGTATTAATGAATTTTGAAGGTGCGCCACCTTCTCTTATGGGAATGTATTTTAATGTTTGTAATTCTCTTCTCATTTGTTCTTTAAAAATTGAAAATGAAATATCTTGTTTTAAAGCATTAATAAGTGCATCAAAAGTGGTAATATTTTCAGGAATTTTAATTGAAGAATCGATCATCATTTTTGCAAATTTAAGGACGGATTCATCTTTTGTAATTTGTTTAAGAAAACAAGTTGCTTGAGCTTGTTTCAGCCATTCGCTTGGATGAATACTTCCATCATATATTGGAAATTCCATTTTGAAATTTTTGAAAAAAAAATTAGTGATTTACTAAATCACAACTCAATTATATATAAACAAATTGTGCGACAACAGGAGAAATATAAATAAGGAATTTTTTAACTCGTTTTTACCTGTAGTGTCGTACAGCATTTGTCGTTATGCAAACTCTTACCCTCCGTCCATACTCCTTTTGAAGAGTCTAATTCTTCACCGACCTGCACCACTGTAAAACGAATTTCGGTATGAAATTTATTGTTGTTTATTGTGGTCAAAATTGCATTTTCTCAAAACATTGAAAAGAGGTATTGGACTTGAATTTAACGTCTCAAGAAAGATTTTCAATCGTTTAAAAATCAATCATTTTACCATATGGTCTGAAAGAATACGGAAAATTTCGGTGAAAGAAGTTGGACATAGTGTTATATCTATTTGATCTTCCTGCTGATGGAATAGACCATACTTAACTGCGATTTAAGAACGTACTCTTTTCAATAAAATATTGTACGTTACCAATAGCTAGTTGTTCATTACTTAATAATGTTTTACAATCATAACTTTGATTTAATATATTCTTTTATAGATAAATTTGAGGGTCCAAAGTGGAAGAGCTTTTAAGCATATGATGCAATGTACATGGCACACACCAACTGTTACCACTTACGAATAACACATAGATCACAAATCCTTTCAACGATGTTGCTAATTGTAACGTAGATGATCGAAAATTCATCAATGTGTTCGTAAATAGGGAAGGAAGTGTCCTGAGAAGAATGCAATATAGGCTTATATAAGGTTTTTGACGCTCTTTGAAAAGATTTTACACTCATTGACATTTTTATTTCTAGCACGCAGCGTTTGGTCGCGTACAAAAAAAAAAAAAAATAGTGGTAGACATCAAGTTGGGGAACAAGTCTATAACAGGAGAACGAGATCGATTCCACATAAGTATGAATAGGTTGACGGACGAATTGTAGACCTGAAGACTGTAGCAGATGATTTCTTAGGGAATTCCTTTGAAAATAAATTCGGTTTGATTTTTACAAATTTACTTTTATTTATTCTGATCTTCAAATATCAAGCAGCAAATCTTAATGAAAGTCGTGGGTAAAACTGCATTCGAATCAAAGAGCATCATGATGTGGGAATGAATTGTTGATTTCAAAAAAAAAAAACCCCCGTTTTTGAAGCCAATGAATTCTTTGAAATGAACTTATTTTCGTTATATCTGGGAAAAAAAAAATTATGTCTCGTGTGGTAGATCCTATATCAGGAAAAACCCAGTATGTTCCATAAATAAGGCTGTGATATACATTTAGAAAAAATGTACAAAATAAAATATGTATATTAAAGTCATTAAGACAAATTATTTGTATAAAATAATTGTTCACAAATGATCAAAATTGAATAGCGAGTTTTGCTTTTAATTTTATTTTTATAGGATTCACGTTAAAAAGTCAGAGATCAATTCGTAAAAAATTTTTTTATTATAGAAATTAAAGCACCGCTTAACTAGATTACATAATTAAATTAGATTCTAAATGTTTCCGACAAAACTTAACTTAATCTTATCTTCACCGCTAAAAGTCTAAAAATCGTTTTAGCACTTTCCTTCCTTTCGAAAATTAGTCTCTACCTAGTTCTAAATGATGATCCCTAAATTTATCATGAATTTTACTTTATAGACATTATTGATCTTTCTTTAAAAATCAACCTATAATATATATTTCCTTTATCGAATAGTAATAAAATTTTGATTATTGCGTTTTAGCTTTGATGTTATACCTTTAATTCATAAATTCATAAAAAAAAATTGAAACAAAAATACAAATAATTAAATAAACTGAAAGGAGATAAGTCAAATTTATTAATTAAAAAAAAAATGGTTTCTTCGATCCCTTTGATCTTCGTCCATTTCTTGATCGTGATTAAGGTCTATATCTCTCCTATCACCTCTCCTAATATAAAATATATAAAAACAAAAAAAAATTTAGAGCAAATCCTTCATTCATGCACAGTAATAACGCGCCTTATAAGAACCGCACTTTAAGTTAAATATTTGAATAAGTGATCAATAGTATGAAAATAATTGTTTATTTTTAAATTATAAGGACCGATTTAAGTTATAATTTTTTTTTTCTTATCAAAGCCAATTCAAGAGTTTCCGTGTAATAATAATTACACGAGCTACAAAAATAATAAAAATAATAAAAAACTCAGTTACATCTTAAAGGTAAATGGGTTTTCAATTCTACATCAAGAGTATTTCGTAGTACAAAAAAATGTTCATTAAGCGCGCCTTTTAAGGATACTTCTGATTGGCTAAAATTAAGAAATTGATCCGATCTTTTGTTTCAACGAAAAAACTATACAGTATATATATATATATATTCAAGTACAAATTTCTCAATAAAATATACAGTACATATTAAAATATAAAAAAAATAAGAAAGAACTTTATATACGGAAGCTATAAATTATTTCATTGTAGATTTGTTAATCGATTTCCGTGATGAGATCTCATGAATTCCAAATTTCGATTTTTAGACCGATATAAATCATGTATTCGCATAAACCAAACGAAAAATAACAAAAATTTCTAATAAAATTTACCTTGCCATTTAATCAGAATTAGAAAGCTAGGCGATAAATACAAATGCATTCGGCCATGACGATAAATTTTTACGTATGCTAAAAATATTCCAGTGTTTCAAAATAACACAGACATATCGTAAAAATTTAATTAATAATAAAATATTAACTAAAATACTGACGATGCGATGAAATCAAATGCAGCAGAAAAAGATCAAACGAGTTTTATCTTAAACCTTTCTTACATATTTGGATATCAAGGATTTTGGAGGGTTAACAATCAGCTTATTCTGAAAATTTCTTCACAGAATTCTTCATGCTCCCAAAAGCCTTCCTCTTTCTAGCTTCCCTCCTATACTTCCCACAGTAGTCAAATTTGGGCTTGAATTTATATTTTTCAATTCCTCACTGACCCGCTGAGTGGCGATAATATTTCTCTGCCTCGTTTCCTTTTCCTTACTTGCTTGGCATCCTCCGTGATTTATCTGGCCCTGTCTCTTATCTTACTAGTAACATTCGCAATTTTAAATATGTTCATATTCGATTGTTTCAAATTAAGAGAATCTTTCTACTTCTGCATTGAATAACAATAAGAGTGAGCTCGGGACTATTTGATAAAAAATTTTTCAAAGAAAATCATGTAACCTGAATTAGGTGTCTAGTTTTTGAAAAAATTCAGACAGCGTAGATATACATGATTCGTGTAGAAGCACCATCTTGCAATTCATCAGATAATAACTGATTTGATTTCCATAATATATCTTCTATGAGCATTTTTATAAGTGCTGGTTTTATGTGTATTATCAAGCTTGCTTCTTCCTACTAGACTTTCAAAAAATTCCTTAACATTGGTGTAAAAAGTTACTCCAAAACGTGACTCCAGAACAGCAGTGGAAGGCCAAGCATTTCAGGTTCCATTGGTCGTATCGAGACCCTATCTGCTGTACCTGTAAGTACAAATATGCTAGGAAAAACTCCGGTCATATGATGCACAAAAGCATACATTAGCTGACTGTTTAAATAGTTTATTCCTTCATTTCGATCTTTGAAAATTCTTGAAAATGTCAGGGGGGCAGTCCTTTTTTTTTTTTTTTTTTTTGAAATAATCTCCAGAATTTATGAAATAGGTTGGAATTCGGTAAAGTTCTCTAGGAAATCGCGATATCTTATTTAAGAATTCAGAAAGATTTCAAAGCAAGTAGTAAAAAACTCTTATCTTTTTATAATAGGGAAATCTTATTTGTATTATTTTAGATAGCCCAGATTTTTCAGGTAAAAATTTATTCGGATAGTGATTCCGCAATTCACAAAATACATTTCAATGATTGTTTTTCTTATTCTTGGGTATATATATATATATATTTTTAATGTTTGTTTCAACTCGAAAGGAAGAAAATAGTTAATAATAATAAAGGATAACACCACCTTCACTCAATTATAATCCATAGACACTTGATATATTGAAAAACTCGACCGAAACAATTTAGAAAGACCATTTCATATATCATCATAACGATGAAAATAATATATTCTGCAACGCATTTCATATAGTAGTTAAGCTTTTCTGGTTCACTGCTCAACTTATAGCAATAGAGGCTGCAATATCGCAGCGGACAGATTCATTAACGAAGGAATCAACTAACATATATTTGATTGAACGATTAAAAACCATTGCAATTGCTCAGAGAAATTAAATAATGTGACGCATTAATTTTATTTTTATTTATTAGATATAGAATTTTATATTTATATTTAAAGGGCAAACGTTTGGGAATAATATTTAAATGTTAATAGATTTTTGGAATACATAAAACTTAAAGAAATAAAGAAACAAAATTTACATGAAAAGTAACTATTCAGGCTACAGAAACAGAAAGAGAGGGTGCTTAGCCTCTAGAACTCAATAAATTTACGTACGACGAAAAGTTGTTCTTGGACACAAAAAAATTGCGTAAGCAAGCACGCACAGCACAAAGGAGTTGAATTTCGGCAATTGATAGTGAGTAGAGCAAAATAGAAAGTACTCCCTGCTCCTCTGCTGAAGTTTCTCTAATAATAGGTTAAAGTTTCTTCTGAAATTTTCTCAAGATTATTCAGAATAAATCCCTGTTTAAAATGGAAACGGCGCATTAATAATCAAATAGATAGAGTTAGGAAATTTTGTTAGCGAACAAAGAGCACGACCAATGCTGACGAGATCCAAAAAAGAATAAACGCGTACATATTTTTAATTAAAATGAAATTCACATCAATTCTTGAAGTAAAAAAGATGTTGGCCAAGTTAACGATTTCCGCATTCATATTCGAATAATAACTAACCATTTTGATAGTTGGAACTTAACAAGAATCAACTTCCCAAAGATAATAAATATTCGGGTGTAAAAAAAAAAATACATCGCACAACCGTACGACTGAAAATCCGTGTTTTTCCTTAAAAAATTTTAACCCCTCCTTTTATAAACGTTAGCAGGACAAAGTTATTTCGGTTATTATTAGTGAACGAATTCATGTCGATGGTAGTGATGTCCTTTTTAAATATTTCACTGTTGGAGTCCTTAAGAAGTATCTCGTCGAATCGAACGATCGTCTTTCTGGTATTCTAAATATTTCGAAGTTTATAAGATTGAATTATTAAAGTTGAAATACCAGTTTTTTTTCTAAAAACAGTTTAACATTTGCAACAAACTGGACTTCCTGGATGTTTTAAAATAGCCAATATATTTTCGATAGGATTCAATTCTGGGCTATATGAAGGCCAAGGAAGAACTCGTCCGGATGATGTTCCTTTAAGTCGTTTTGAACATCTCCTGTCACACATTATTAAAAAATGGTGACGCTGCGAGCATGGCAGACATTTGTATGATTGGTCAATTTTTATGTCGATCATTTCCTAATTATCATTAAAATAATTGATTTTGATTGGTTCAATTTTATTATTAAATTATATAATATTATTATCGCATTGTTTTTATATAAAATTATATAATTAATTTTTCATAAATATTTCAAGTGCTATTTAAATTGTTCTGTAACTTGAGAATCAAATGATACTTTGCTTTGATAAAACTTCAGGTTCATCATTTTATATTAATTGAATTTCATCTTGATCAATTTCAACTTTAAAACTTTGCTTTGATAAAACTTCAGGTTCATCATTTTATATTAATTGAATTTCATCTTGATCAATTTCAACTTTAAAATTTTCTTCAGTATTAATTTCATTTTTAATATATTTTAAACAATATAAACATTTATAATCAAGATATTTTAAATAATATTGATAATAAATATGATATATGAAAGAGATATAAATTTTATAAATATGTAAGAAATAGAATCATTAGATACTGATTGTAATATCTTATAAGAATCTTGAAAATGATACTTTTCTAATGAATTAAATGGTAGATATTCTGAACTAAAAATCATTGGTAAATGTTATTCATTTACATTTATATTAAGAGCTATAAAATAATATAAAAACTTATTTTTTCATATTAATTAATTTTTATCTATTTGCTTTTTCCAGTATTATTGTTAATAAGGATATTTTTTTGTTATAAAAATACATTTTGAAATATATTATTATGATAAAGATAATTAATAATATAGGCTATTTTTAACAGTTATTTATGTGTATCTATTTCTCTTATTTGTCTTTAAATTAATAAATATTAATTTTCTACAGAATAATCATTAAATACTACAAAATATTTTTTTAAAATATCAAGAATAAGATGATTAATGCTTTTTCAATACCGAATTTTAAAAGAAAAAATAATAATATTTTATTATAATTTTTCATTTAAATCAAGCAAATAAATATTATATTCTTATATAAACCTTAATATATGTTTTTTAATTGTCAAATCTAAAAATTTTTGCATAAATATTTAACACTAAAGGAATAATATCATCTAAAAGGATTTTTAATGCAAGATATTTTTAAAACAAATTAACTCAATTTTTTCTTTAACATATGAAGTAATATTTTTTCAAGTATCTGATATTTAATTATAAAAAGATTAATTCTCTAAGGATGAGATTTATTAGTAAGCATTTTTTTATTTCAAAAATATATTTGTATATAAAATTATAAAAATTATAAAAATTATAAAATAATAAAATAACAGTTTTATAACTATTTAGAGTTATATATAAAAATCTCATGATTAAAATAAATGAACTAATATACTTTGAAATTTCTATTTGATTATTCTTTTTAATTATTATTGTTTTTATTGTATAGTAATTGATTTCTAAGAATATATTTAATCTGATCAATCAGCAATCAATAGAATAATATTATACTAAAAATAATCACAAAATTCTGAAAAGAAAATAAATATTTTTATAGCATTAATGTATGCTTCTATTAAATGTAAATCAAGCTTAATAAAATTCATTAATATTACTAGGTTGTCAATCTTTTCATTTTTCATGAATATCTGCATCATAATAATAAACTATTAAATTATTAAGTAAATTATTTTTAGAAAAAGTAAATCATTTAGCAAATTGATTATTAAAAGATTGAAAAAGAAGAATTATATAAGAATTCTCTATTTAAGAAATTAAAGAATTAAAATTAATAAGTAATAAATTATATATATAGTTTTGATTTGTATCTATATTATATATAGTATTCTTTAAAATTGCATTTACTATAAGCATAGAAATAGCAAGAATAGTAAGTATATATATTTAACAATAATAGTATTATTATTATTAATATTCTTAATCTATAAATATTATAATAATTATTGATATTTGTAACTATTACATTTGTTTGATATTTTAAGAGTTCTTTTATAATATTATCCTATAAATTGAAAATATAATATTCTTTTCAAGAAGAATTTTTCTTAATTTAAAATTTAATAACATACATTGCCCTCCAAAAAGTATTTAGTCAAGCTTTTTTTTAAATTTCTCAAGATCAGATATATTAACTAAATAAAATTTTTTTTTAAATAAACCCCCTAGTTTTGATGATAACATACATATATTTATATTTGTGTAATAATATGTAGATCAGTTTTAATAAATAAAAATGTAAACATTTCTCTTTTTTAAAACTGCATCATTTAATATAAGAAAAGTCACGAATTAAATGAGTTTGAATGTGGAAAAATAATCAGCTTACAGATAGCTGAAAGAACTTATGAAGCTATCGCTCATCTTTTAAAGATTTCATAAAGCACTGTTACAGATATAATCACTTGATATGCTAATTCTAGTAATGCCAAAAAATCTTTGTGAACTTAAAGAAATATTGCAAGAAGAATGAAGAAAAATTCCATCTGAAACCTATATTAAACTTATAGAAAGCATACTATATAGAATCAAAATATGCATTAAAAGCCAAAGATGGTTTACTTAATATTAAATATATTAAATGTTTTATTTATATCAAAAATCTCAAATAAATAAAATATTATTTTGGTTGATCGAATACTTTTCTGAGGGTAATGTATTAAATAAAGTATCAATAGTTTAATTAGATATACTTGAATAATCTAAAAATATTATGATATCTTTTTTAATATATTAATATACTTATCTCTAATTATAGCAAGAAAATAGTAAAGAGCTTTTTCTGTCTTTATGAGATAGTATGATTTAAAAGATCTCTAATACTTGAATTAATTCATTTTTCAAACATATTGAAGAATAGTAATATATATTTTTTTTCTTTTATATAAAAATTCTATGCCTTTGATCTAACACTTTTAATAAAATTAATTTCACAAATTTCACTTACTTCAAATGTTAATTTATTTCTAAATTTATAATTATCAAGATTTATCTTTGAATTATTAGATTTAATTCCTTCTATTATTAACCAAGTTTACTATCATCAGAGTTGATTCTCTTTATCATTAATTTATCTCATAGCTGATTAAATTTTTAGTATTATTTTAAGGTAACAGTATTCTTAAAATTCTTAAAATATACAGCTCATATAGTAATTATGACAAAGCTAAATACTGTTTAATTATCAGATAGTATCTAAAGTTTTGTACTGTAAAGTTTTTTATTTAGTTTTTTCTATAAATCTTAAAAAATTTATTTCATATTCTTTTACTTCACAAATAATACATGACTTAGAAAATTTCAAATTTTCATTATAACCTTCAGAATTACTAAATATACCTATTGTAAATTGTATAATTAATAGAATTAGTTTTAAAAAATGATTGTAACAGATTTCTAAGAATGTAATCAAATATTTTTTTAGTATTACTTAAAAAGATGATCAAGATTCTAGAATTTTACCCTACTTTAAACTATATAAAAAGCTAAATTACACAATTTTGTATAATTGTATATTATACAAATATCTAATATGATATAAAAAAGAGAGAAAACTACCAAAAAATTTTTTTACTCTATAAGTTAAATATTATTTTTTTTTAGTAAAATAACTTCAGATATAATATTAATTCAAAAAAAAATTTTTAGTAGTTTCTTCTTTTTTATTATAAAGTATTCATATAACTTACTTATAATAATAAATAGTAAAATCCATTTTTATTAATTTATACAGATAGTAATTTTGATCATTAGGTTAATTATTTACAAGTTCAACTTTCTTTAATTTTCTTATTTATTGCACTAGATTTAGATTTATTAGTAATAGTATATATATCACTAAGATATTCTTGAAAATCCTATAGAATATATAATATCTATTTAAATTTAAAATTAAAGTATATATGATTAATAAAAATAGAAATAGATAAAGAATATAAAGAAATTATAAAATATTATAATTCAATAAAAGAAATTTGAAATAAAGCCAAAAAGAAGTTACAATTAAAAAAATAATTATTAAATAGTTTATATAATACTATTAAATTAATGGAAAATTCAATTAAAAGACTTGAATTACTTTACAAAAACTTTATTTTTTTACTATATAGTAACTGCATAGTATCTATTAGGCTACCATTAAGCTACTACTAAGTAAGGTAATAACTATATATTTACTATATAGTTACTTTACAGTTACTGCATATTAAGAAAATCAAGTTTCTGTAAAGTAAAGAAAAAACTTTTAAAACTGCTTTAGATGAAGAAATAAAAAAAAGTATTCAAAATAAATCTTAGTTTTTAAAATTTTACAACTATTATTATAGGTCATGATATTATTTTTTTTAAAATTAAAAGTGTGAATCATTAGATTACAATATATATAAACCTATGAAATGTAATCCTAAAACTTGGCAAAAAATATAAAAATTTTGAAAAATTATATGGTCAGAAAACTACAAAAGAATTTAGATTTTCTTTAAAATGAAACAAAGAAGTCAAAGAATAAAATAAACTTTAAGTCTAATGCATAAAACTGTAAAGATTTACTACTTTCATTTAATGTGAAGAATGTAACAAATTGCATGTAATTTATTTAAAATCAAAATTATCTTCAGAAAAAAGAAGAATTAACAAGATTTTTAAATAAAATTCAATATATAGAGACACAGCTAGAAATATCTAGAGCTTAGACTGATTACGTGATTTTGAGATTTTGTGATGATTATATATTTAAAGATGTAATCTTTTAAAATAAAGTTTTTTTTTAATAATATAATAAGAAAGGTATAATATTAATTTTTTATCATCCCTTTTTACTTTAAAAACTTTTGTATTTTTTGTTTATTATTTTTATTAAATAATATAAAGCATGACATTTATTTTACTAATAACAGTGTAAATAAAAATATATTAGCTATTTTAACAGAACTAAATAATATATTTTTGAATAAAAATTTAAGTTTTGATAGTAAAAAAATATATTAAATAATGAGATTTTATCTAATAACTCTAATAATGTTGAAAATATTGAAAATCTTGAAGAAAATTTTAATGAAATATATTTAAGTAACTGTGAATATGCAGAAAATTTTATTAATTATATTGAAGATAAAGTTTATGATAATTTGAAATTAAAAGTAAAAGATTTTTTTGATAATAGAAAATGTTCATGTAATTCTAAATGTTATTAAAAAATTAATTATGAATGTTTTTTATAAATCAGATAGAATTTGAAAGTTTAGACAAAAATATATTATTAAAGGACAATTTTTAGCTTTTTAATAAGATGAAAATATGAAGAAATTGATTGCTAATAATAGAAAATTTTCACGTTTCAAATATTGTTTTAATAATAGTCTTCTAATTTATTATATTTTATATCAAGCTCTTATCAGAATTGGTTATTCATGTTTAGATGCTAAAAAGTATTTATAAGAAAATGATCTTGAAAAAAATGTATATAATAATATTGGTAAAGTTTTAAAAAATAAAAAACTAAGTCATTATATATCATGTAAAATTTATAATTTTTTAAAAAATTATGTTAATATATATGGTTTACCTTCATCTAAACAGAATCTTTATAAAACATCAATGCTAGTTGTATTTTTTCTAACAAGTTATAGCTATACATCTATATATAGGAAAATTTCTAGGAAAATCAGGTTCTGAGAAATTTTTAACTAAAATTAAGAGCTTAATACATTTTAATCTCATAATATCAAAAACTAAAATATAATAAAAATCTCAATTTTGTTAAAAAATTCCCAGAACCTGATTTTTCTAGCAATCAACCTATATTGTAATTATATACAAGCTTATAAGAATGAACATGAAAGTGAAATACAAGAAATATGTGAAACAACTTTTTATAAATCTGAAAACTTTTAATACTATCATTTCAGTTTATATTTTCAAAGTCTGATTTATATAAAATCTGTGAAATAATGAAATTAGATATTCAGTACACTACAGAAAATGAAAAGAAATTGATAATAACAGAAAAATATTTAGTTTACTTGAATTGTGCAAAATAAGAATATGATTATTACAATATTAATATTAAAATGCTATTGAAAATGGCAAATGTAATCCAAATGTAACTAGCTCTCAGATATTATTTAAATCTTTTGAAAGTAGCACTTATATTACATATTATTAGATCCAAAATGTGCAAATTCTTTATTTATCTTAGCAAATAGGTTTCATATTCTTTAAAAGTCTCTAAAAAGTACATTTTTTTTGAGTTTGTAATACTTGAAACTTTTCATATATAGAACAAACTAATTATATAATTGATGAAGTTGAAATTCCCTATTATGGTAAATAAGGGAAGGAAGTAAATTATACAATAAGTTTAGTTTAGCATACTATTCAAAAATATAATTGTGAGAAAAAAAAATTAGTTATTACATATGATAATTATGTTAGTCAAAACAAGAATAATTATTCTTTATTTTTTATTCAGGGTTGATTGATCATGACTTATATGAAGAAGTTAACTTAAATTTTATGATACTTGGTAAATACCAAATTTATCTTTGGCTTAATTAAAGTTCCTTATTAAAAAGCAAAGTAAATATCATAGAAGACGTAATTTCTGTTATTGATCATTCTACTATGGTTCATCTTAATATTTTCCAAGGTTTTTGAATAGAGAGGGTTTTCAATATTATAATTTTAAAGATTACTTTCAAAAGTTCAAAAAAATACCTTATATACAAAAACAACATCACTTTGATTCCACTTTACAGCATCCTGGGATTGTTTTTTTACAAAGATAAACTTGAAGATGATTATAAAAAAACTACAATTCGAAACTTTTCTTTTGATACTAATATTCTACCTTCTAAAATTGGGATTAAATCACTTTCTTTAAAACAACAAGAAGAATTGTATAAAGAAATCGCACCTTACGTTGATTTACCTTTCGTAATATTACTTGTCCTAAGCCAAATGAACATAAAACAGATTAAACTAAAGTGTTGTAATTAGGTTCTAAATTTTAAAATATTATTAAATAAAATAAGATTGTTTTTTGCTCACTTATTGTATTCTTATTGTTACTGATGTCGCCATTACATTATTATAATTTTTTTATATTCCCAAACGTTAAAATCTAAAGTTCTCAGAATGTTTTTTTTTTTATGAAATAATCGCTAACTTTATTAAAAATATGTATTATATAAATTTTATTATTTAAATAAAAAAATATGCATAAAAAGAGGGAAAAGAAAGGTCCTTGATTTCAGTTATATGCTTGCAAAATTTCGTTCTATGTTATAAAGACCGTTTTTTGTAATGATCGTCAAAAATTGATTGGTTAATTTAAACCTCGATTTTCTCGAAATCGCGCTATCGACCGAGCCCCGACTTTTTCTAGCCGCGTCCCCATATGTGGTGAAACTTTTTATAACTTAGCAAATTCTATAAATATGCAAGATTCTAATAGTACAAATGATTCTATGAAAAGATTATTCTCTATAGTTAAAGTTAATAATGCAATAGTCCTATTGAAGCTTCATATTATTCAAATGAATTATTTAAAGAAGCATTTTGTTTTAATTAAAGTGTAGAATTTGAAGAATATATAAATTATGATAAATATTTTCTATATTGTGAAGAATGCAACACATTAGTTAGGAATAAAAAAAAGAAGGAGAAAAGAAAAAAAATTTGTAACCAATAAACAAAGAAATGTTAAAACTAATGAGTTGTAAGAAAGGAATTATACATAACGACTATATAATAAAGCTTTAATCTACCAATAAAATTACAATTTATAGTCACATGATAAACTTTTTCATATAACTTTTTTTTGTTAAAATTAGAAAAAAGTGACCCGGCCGGGTGACGTGAACCAAAAAATCGAAGTTGCATGGCCTAAGTAAAATAGTGAATAAATCTATAAGATTTGTAATTTTATTGTCCAGAAATGAATTTTATTATAAAAAAAAAAAAAAATCATGCGATGCTATAATCTGTAATGCCTTCTTCATAATACTACAACTACAAAATATTCTATGTGGTTGAAAATAAAATTCTCTCGTACAAGTCGAGAAATAATCTATTACTTTTATGATTTATGAAATGTATATTAAATTAATTTGTGGTCAAGCTACTATAATTAATTATTATTGCGCTTTAATCATTTTTAAATTATTTTAAAAAAAAAATTTCGGCATGGAATCAATTATTTACCCTTGGTAGTAAGTTCATCAAAGTTAAAGAAAAAGGAAATTTGGATAATGTTGAGGTATATAATATGACGAACGATCGAAAAGATTTGTTATTTCTATAATCAAAATTTTTATTTCTGCTTGATAAGCTTAATGCACCACTAAAAGAAATAGAAGTACATATCTAATTAAAAAAAAGGAGAAGGATTCATTACAATAAATAATTCACACATACCTCATCATTATCTCCTAATCTTTCATTATGACAGACAACTTCTTGAAAAGTATCTTTATTAATGGTGAATTGAAAATCATGACTACGTAAATATACTCTTTGACAATTATTCCTTGTAGCACTAAGATTAATAAAATCATTTGATTTCAAATATCCTTCATAATTGTCTAATTTACTATTATTAAACTTCCATTGATTTTGTGAATAACAACTTACTAAAATAAAATAGATATAATAGATATCATTATCAAACCTTTTTTCAAATTTATATAAATTATATAGATTTTACATACCTTCTGTGTGCTGCTGAGTTACTGGAGATTCAAAATAACCACCATAAATTCCTAAAAAGATTTTAGAATTCTTGTGTTGTAAATATATATTGGTTTCGCTGTATAAGGCTTGTTCTTCGTCTTCCGTAAATGTGATTTTCCATAACGCATTATTATCAAGCAAATTATTTGCAAAAACCTAAATTTATAAAGTTTAATTACAAAAAATTTATCTATTGTAATAAAATATCAATAAAAATCATACCAATTGAGATCCGCTTCCAGTATTATAATTTAGATTTTTAATCGAACTTAAATATTTTCCTGTAACAACATGTTTTAAAGCTACAATAGATCCATTTTTAATCAAATCATGATTATACTTAATTATTTCCTCAAATTCTTTGATTAATTCACTTATTGAACTGATATTTTCCATCTTCTTATATCCATCTAAAAGATATCTATCTGGAAGTGATGAATAAAGATATCTCTTCTGTTCTTCTATATCATTAATCTCAGCATTGTAACATAATTTACGAAAATTCGAAATAAATTTTGAAGTTTTGACGCCTTTTCTTTCAGGTATGTATTTTAATAATTTTAACTTTCTTTTATTTGTATTTTTAAACATCGTAAAGGAAATGTCCTTTTTAAGCGCATCACGAAGTTTTTCGAAACTATCAATTCCAGTTGGAAGATTGATGCTAACATCTACTAATGATAAAGCTTCTGAACAATCAAGTTTAAAATACATTTGTATATCATTTATCCATTCATCTGGATGAACGTCTTTTCCATTATATTTTGAAGTTTTCATATTTTTTTTTTTTTTTTTTTTTCTTTATTTTTTATCAAATAAAGGGAAAAAGGTGTACTTTTTGTTAAATTTTTAATTTTTTTGATTATAACGACAAATTTGAATGTGAGCAACATTACAAGTTGATCATTTACCATCATTTACCAATTGTGGCATCTTACTCCTTTCGTTTAATAATAATCATCAATTTGAAAACGTGTCGTGAGCAAATATTGTAGTAAAGTTTATTGCAACAGAAAGAAAAAAGAAAATGATTTTGTATGAAATTCCGTAAAAAAATCCTCGTTTATATATACCAATTTAAATCAATATCTTACATACTGCGTATGATTTGTTCTTAGCTTCATTGTCAAGGTGATCGGATCCAAAAAAAATTTAGGGGTAAGATTGTCCAAAAGTAAATAATTATATATATGTTTGTTTCATTCATTTCCTCTGCTTTGGCTATTTAGACATTTTTATAGTGGTATTGTACAACGAATATTGACGAGTTACTCCGTTGATCTTACATATATGCTAGTAGAGTTTAAATTATTAAGAAAACATGATATCAAAGAAGAAATGTCAAATTAAGATGAAAGTTTATCGAATGAAATTAGCTATCTAGATGTTCGATATTATTAAAAAAAGGTTTAACTGATTAGTTGTGAAAATACATTTTTGGGAATCACAACATACTCAGACGGCTCGTGCACTTTCAAGAAAATCTTATGCGAAAATAAGTTTACGCTGAATAAACTTGTTTACCCCAGAAACATTTACAGTATTCAACAATTTTCTATACACCACTACAAGAAAAAATGAAATATAAAAAATTTATAATTAACAAACATGGTAAAAATTTTAATATGGAAATTAAATATTCCCTCCAATCCTTTCATTATGCGCAGTAACCTCTTGACGATTTTCATTGTTAACTGTAAAAGTAACATCATGACTACGTAAAATGCTACCTGAAATATCTTGTATATATGTAAATGATATCTTGAGAATTTTTTACTAGCAATACTAGAAAAGACCTTTGGTTTAATAGTTCCAATATTCATGATGATTAACATATGCTCGTATATGAATTATATATAATAAACAAATTAGAAAAAAATTTATTTTCCAATAAATACTTAAATTTTACACACCTGAAGAATATCCATTAAGGCAGTGATAGTGATGGGCATTGGAAGAATTGGAAGTCCAAAATTGCTTCCAATTTCCAACGCCCATCACTGCATTTCCATTTGAATTATACTGTATTTTCCAAATGACAAAGGGAGGATACAAAATAATAAATAAAATTTTAATAATTGATAAAAATAGGAAGATGTTTATGCTCTTTCCGTTTACAAAATATTTCCGCCATATGCTTTAATTTAACAACCGAACCCGTTCTTATGAAATTACAATTAATTGAAACAACGTTATTAAAAAGCAGAATTAATTCTCCCATATGTAACCTTGTTATAATCATCACGATCTAAATAATAATGACTTTGGATACTTTGAAAAAGATATTGTTTAAGTTCTTTGATATCATTAATTTCAGCTCCATAACAGAGCATCCTAAAATTCCGTAATAAATTCGGAAGTATCTCCACATCCTTTTTCAGAACAATATCTTAATAATTGTAATTTCCTTTAGTAAGTATCTTTGAACACCGTAAAAGTTACATCTATCTTGAAGGTTCGTCAAAAGTATATACAACGCTTGGAATTTAATGATTTTTATCATATTGACACAAAATACTAATTGAGTTATTTATCATAGATTTTGTTGAGTAACAACAAGATCTAGCTTGCTTGACCCAAAGTTCGGGATGGTCATTTCCATCGTACTTTTGTAAAGTTCCCATTATCTTTTCTTTTTTTTTTTTTTTGTATAAAAAAAAAAAAGATATGGGAGCCAGTTCACGAAATCACGTGACTTATATTTTTATCACCCAGTGTCAAATCCTATTTGTCACACTTTAATGTCATTTCGTGACTAAAAACCATCGCTGCGTCGGATCCTCTGATTGGCACACCACTAATTCAAAATGTTTTATAAAAAACTCGTTAATTATTTGTTGTAAACATTTATTAATTACAGTATAAGCCTCAAAAAAAAATATAAAATAGAAAAATAATAAAAATAGTAAATAATAAATAAAATTTTCAAGCCAATTTATAAAGGCACGATGATTTTAACAAAATAATAAATTAAACTTGATTGATCATTTTACCTTTTTTTTTTTATTTCACATGAATTAAGTTAATTCTTTCTTTTTTGCTTAGAGCGTATATTCTTAGTTTACTAATATCTTACTATTTCAATTCTATAACATTAATAGCAATAGTGACGAAAAACTTATGGCCCAACGGAGATATGCTGCGATATATACTATTGCAATAGTCTTTTGCTGCATTTGTATAGTTCAATTTCCGTTGGTTTTCATATGTCCCACTCTTGGTAATGTATTTGTCGACAAAAAAAAAATTGCATCTCATGTTTTTTTTTCCTTAAATAAACATCGCAAATAATCTCTTTTACTTTTAAGAAATTTATAAAATAATCATGTACGAAAAATATCATCTTCCGATTCAAAAAAGCATAGAATATATGTAAGTTCCTCGGAATTTTTCCATCGTTTCATATGTATCCTCATTTGTAACCTACCATTTCTCAACGAAAAACGAAAAACACGAAGGTATCTTTCGCTAGCGTTTAGTCATGTTGGTAAGAGGATCCTATAAAGAAAAGATTTTGAAGTTATCGTTTGAAGTTGACGCTTTTTTTTTCGTTAATTTTGCGTTCATGTTGATATTTTTTTAGCTTTACATATGTTATTATTCCTTTGCTGCTGCTTTTGTAATCGAAAACAACTTGACCTGGAGTTTAGGTAATTGATATTTGCGATTTTTAACATCCTTAACTCGATTAACAAATGAAAAAATTAAATTATTCCCTTTATAATTGAAAAAAATAAATATAGTATCGCAACAGTCTTGTGGCTTGTTATCCCAAGTAAATCTAACATTTTTTTTTTTTTTTTTTAAAATGAAAATATAATATGATTAAGTTTTACTTTCTTATTTTTACCAATTCGTCTTCTTTCTCACTATCTCTATTTTCTTCTTTTTTTTTTTTTTTTTTTTTTTTTTTTGTAAAAAGCTATTTATACCTATTACACAGCACATGAGTTAGGAGATATTCCGTTCTTTTGTCCGACCGACTTTCCTTATATGAATTCAATGCTTTTGCCATTATGTAAATTAAGGGTAGCCAATTTATTTTGTATGTGGTTGATGTCTATAATTACATTTTTGGCTACCATATTAATGTGTATCCCCGAAGATACTTACAAAGGATTTGTTGGGGATGATTGATAAACGGTGACTAACGGGGTCCAACGGGTGCGTGAAAAATGAGCAGTGACGAGAACTCGGGTCAAAATTTTTATCGGTTAGGGTGAATCGGATTAAAGGATGTGAACATAAATTGAATAACATTTCATTTATGGACAATTAAATTTTTATAACTTGTTTTTTCAACGTTAACAATTCTTTAAATCTTAAATAAATGGTTTCTTAAATCTTTTAATTGTAATTTCAAAGGAAAAGTTATAACTAAAATAAATAAATATATTATACAACAAAAAAAGAAATGAAAAGTAATAATAATAATAATAATAATCACATATACACAATTCTAAAAATTTACATAAAAAGACACATTCCTATCTCTTTCTATTGTCCAAACAAACCAACATGGCCCCCACATCATTACCACATTTGCTATTCTGCCTCGGTCTCCTTTGCACTTTATTAACGACCCGTTTCTTCTCTCGGTCATCATTAAATCCCATGCGTAAAATGAAATTATCTCCTTCAACTCCGACAAAAGTTATAATGAATATTATCGTGATAAATCTTATCCACATAAGAATGATATTCGAAGCCCTAACTTTACAAATGCGTTGCATCGTTACGGAGGGATACTTGTATTCGGATGGACAAAAGAACGGAATTTCACCCAATTCTTTGACGGTGTAATACGTGTAGGTTGCTTGTCCGCATAATTTTGAAAGGAAAAATAAAAGAATTGAGATTGGGATTGAAAATTGAAAGTTTTGATTTGTTTGTATCAAAAATTTTCTTACTTGGAATTATTAACCAAAAAACTCCCATTGTTCTTTAATTTTTTTTTTTTTTTAAAAAAAAAAAAAAAAAAAAATGGAAAAAATCAAATAAATAAATTTCAAATGAAATTGTTATAAGGAATTTTATAAAAAAGGAAATGTTTCCTTACAAGAACGTCCATCGTAATAACTTTGTATCAATCAAACAACAACCAAAACAGATAAAACATTGCAACACTGAAAGGAAAAGAAAATTTTGTTAGATCGATTGAATGTAACTTTAAAATCACAAATAATAATAATAATAATAATAATAATAGTCTGCATCAATTGAATTTATTTTCACCAATCTGATATAAAGCAAGCGTTATATACCTATCAAGGTTACAATGAGTTAAATATTAATCAATCGTTGATTTGCTTAAAAGTCAAGAGATATTTATATATGTTGCTTACGAATATTCTATCGGTCCGTTAAGGTTGAGATCGTTTTCATTGAATAATTGAATTTTCCAAGTTTCTATTCAAAAAATAAAAATGCCTATTATCAAATGACATTGTTTAAAGGAAAAGCAGGTTATAAAATAACAAAATAAAGTAAATTTACATACCAAAAACTGGGCAAAGAATTAATAAGAGAGTATGAACAAACATTAATGTATAGAATGGGATTGCATGACTTGACATTTTATTTGAATGTTCAATAGACTAATGTTTCTGTAAAAATAAAATAAAATAAAATAAAATAAAATATAAAAACCATATAAAAAAATTTAAATCTATAATTATTAAAAATAAATAAAAAGAATTAAAAATATATCTGATTATATCATTATTAAAAAGTTGAATAAAGTAAATTTATTAAATTTTCGCATATATCGGATCTCAAAAATAAAATCAATGGCGAAGTATTAATGATACTCCTTTGCGTTGCGAATAAACAAACAAAACGCCACCAAACCTTCGATTGTTTGTAATTGTCGTGTCTATATATAAGCCGCCTTTCCCCTCTTTTTTTGAGCTATAAGAGTTGCTGTGCAATTCCGAACAGATCTAATCAATCACGTAGAATTGAAAAACATTAGCCACATACAAACTCCGACTTTACATACTTGGTGAATTTATGGTATGGAAACAAACAATCATTGGATAGACGATAAATATTTTTGGTGACTCTCCTAATTCATTACTTGATTGTCTTTCTTTTTTTTTTTTTTTTTAAAAAAAAAAGGGGGGGAGAAATTAAAATGAAGCCTTTAAGATTGTAATTTTGATTTTAAATGAGCGTCAACCCAATAGTATTATTGAGCAAATAATGATTTTCAATGTAATGTAATCACCAACAAACAAATAAAGATAAAGAAAAGAAATAAGAATTTTTTATTTACCTCTTAAATATTTTAATTTGCAGACGCAGCAACGTCTTAAACGAATATGAATTTAACCACAGTTCTCTTAATGCAAAATTTATTACCTATGAAATTGTTAAATAAGTGTAAAATAAATACCCTTTAATAAAATTCGACAAATTCAAAAAGAAATATATTTTACTTGTCAATAATTTAAAAGTTACAAGTTTTGCACAAAAACGTCGAGACAATTTACTTAATGATGCTGAAACAAGAAATCCGGCATATCATCATTAATTCAAAAATGAATTTCCCGAAGGGAAAAATCGAAAGTTCAAATCTGTTTACGGAAAACCTCGGATTTAGGTTACCGTCGCAGCTCGGGAGGAATGATTTTTACAAATTATACAAACATAATTGGAAATACCCGAATCATGCGAGATGCGATTGGATATTTATCAAGTTTTCGTGTAAATAAACTAAATCTCGTGAAAATTTTCATAGATTTAATTTGGCTGAATGATACCCAAACTAGTTTTCGGTTGTTTTTGTATATTAACCATCCAATAGTAAATCGGCACGAACCTAAAAGAATTATGAGCCTCACATCTTATCCAATGACAGATTACTCCCGGTTAATTAACCGGTTTAAAAAGAAATTATTTTTGTTTGACCAATCAAAAAAAAATGTGTGTTTTTTCCTTCATGGCTGAAGTCGCTATCAAATTAAATTTTTAAACAACTCAAAATTACTACGCGCATACAACGTGCTATTTTTTAATAAATAAAAACTTCAAAGGACCGGTTCATTACAGCTCTGAGTCATAAATATATTTATTTATTTACAAAACAAAAAGATTAATAAAATCGAAATAAAATCGACCATTTCAACTGTCTTTTCCCTCGAATTATGTCATTTCTTTTCTTCATCATCTTCAATACCTTCAATAATAGTTTTGATGTTAAAATCTTTCTTTTTCCTCACGAGTTCATCTTCTGTTGGCAAAATTCCAGAAAATGCCATCAGTAAAAAAATAATATTTAAGCATGTATACATCCACATGAAAACAAAATTGGTAGCTCTTATCATGCATGCCAAATAAAGTTTTGGAACTGGGTATGGATAATCCGACGGACAATTAGATGGGATATCCCCAATATCGTCCCTCGTAAAATGCGTATAAACAACTTGATTTGGGTAATGGAAAAAAAAAATTATCTTAGTTTAAACTCAAGCAAAATAGGTAACGAATAAATGTGAAATACAGTAAATAATGATTGACCCACCTGAGATTATTGTCCAAACAACTGCCAAGATTCTTTTTTTTTTTTTAAAAAAAAAAAAAAAAAGAAAAAGAAAACAACATTACATAAGAAAACAATAACTATAAATAATAAACAACCAGAGATGAACCAACTCACAATAATTTTTGTTTAAGTATATTGGGAGTTAATCCTGTTTGTATGCAACAAGCAAAACAATTTGTTGCAATTATCCACCCTATAAAATGAGATAATTGAGTAATTGAAAGGATGCGATGCATATCAGCGATTGCTCGATCTAAGGAACATAAAGACTTACATGGAACAAAACTTGCAATTAAGAAATAACTTTATGATAACAATTAATTAGATACGATATATTTTAATAAACATTACCATTTAATTTCTAAACTCACGTCAATTCGACAGCGTTATTCAATTTTATTACACCATCGCTCCTGACAAATATAAAAGTAACAATTTTCGCGAATTCTGGGTAAAAAAAAAATATACCTACAAATTAATGTGATAAAGCGATAGTTTCAATCATTGAGATGATTAGAAATTACCGATTAAAGGAGCCAACAAAACCAACGTTAACCATAAAGTGACTAATCCGCCTAATATATATCTAGATCCCTTCTTGCAATTCTTCAAACTCAATTTCTTTAGTATTTTGTCTATCATATTAAAAAGTGGTTGTGAATGAAAAAAAAAAAAAAGAGACAATTATTTGCATATTTATTAATATAAAATATCAATAAAAAATATTACCAAGCCTCTATGTACGAATTCAAGAATTTGTCCGGTTCATCAAAACATTGATTGGTATAATAAATTGAAGAAATTTTATGAATTTTATTTAATTTCTGTAGGCTTAGCGTCTCAGCCGCATCCAACGTAAAATCTCATAGCAAGTGTTTAATTTATATACATACATAAATCTGGCCGTAAGAAATTGCTTCTAAAACAGAAATTACTGCGCAGCAGTTAGTTCTTCACAAATCATTTCATGAATTTATCTTCAGTATTACACTTTCATATTAATTTGTAACCTAGTCAAAATACATTTACAAAAGAAAAGAAAAAAAATTTTTTGATTCGAAAATTTCTCACGTGATGATCATCAGGTAAAAATAAATAATTATTTCGTTTAAAAGAAAATATACATAGTTTTGTTCTTTTTCCTTTTTGAAATCGTGCGGTGAATATTTTTCTATTTGGACTTTCCCTCATCACTACTACCTATATCGCTCCCCTTCTTTCTACGACTGCTGCCTGCTTTGCGGCGAACGCTCTTCCTGATACTTGAAGTTCTGGATAATTCATTTCTAACACTAAATGTACAAGTGAATTAATTTCAATGCAAGTTTTCTCTATCGATAATATCACTATTAACTTACCCGAGTGATGGAGAAGAATCTCCACTACCTCCAGGACTTGGGACAGGGACTTGCTCGGCTGGTACACTAACATCCCCCTCTGGTTGTTGTTCACCTAATTCAATTTTACTAAATTGATGCTGTTCTCCGTCTTTACTATCAGTTCCAAGTGGAGGTTGTATGATGCTAGGTATAGGAGGGGTGGATTTTGGTGATTCAAATCTCTGCGGGATATCAACTTCTTTCTCATAGTAGCGAATTTCTGGAATTGATCTATCAACAATTTTACCTCCACTTTTTTCGTTTAATGAATTCATTCCAATAAAATATGACAAAATATTCATGATCAAGAAGAATGCGAAAGTCCACATTATCACTAAATTTACTGCGCGTATTTGACAAGCAGATTGAACTTGTGGTGCGGAATAATTGAAATCTTTTGGACATGTAAATGGTATATCGCCTAATTCATGGATCGTAAAAACCGTGTACGCAGCTATGATATGTTGTTAAATTTTGAGCGTTATGAACACAAGAATCGTGTTAATGAGAATGCTGAACAACAATTGGAGCGTCTTACATGCAATTCCTATCCATAATAACAAAAATACCAGCAAGGTTATCTTTATTGTGGTTTTAGAGACATACTCTGCATAATTGCATTTACATACATATATCAGGATTAGAACACCTGTCAAGAGAAGTCGTGACACGTGATCAATTATAATATAAATGTTCAAGATAATTATTAAGTTTTTCTCTTTATTACTTACTAGGTGCAATTAACGAGAGAACCAAATAACTGAAATCGTAAACTTTGCTTAATTATACAATTTGAACGAATTAAAGATTGATTGGAATGGGAAGATAAGAAATTTCGCCTACGTGTATTCAACGTTTGTATCATAAATAAGTACGTTTGTTCTGTTAAAATACTCAAGCTTGAGAATTTCTACAAAAAAAAAAAAAATTTTTTATTTTTTTTTTTGTTTTAGCAAATTGAATAGCGTAAACGGTAAACACTTACCAAAGATGGGACAAGCAAAAATAAGAATAATAAACGGTACACCAAAGAGTACGTTGACGAGTTTGCTTGAAAAGCTCGTCTCGGACATTATGCGTGTTGGTTATTGTTCAACGAATGATACATTAACTAAAAATTTAAATATTCACGTTTAAAAAAAAAAAAAATATATATATATATGTAAGTCGCAACATATGGAAAGTTACGAATTAGTTTAATAATTATATCACATGTTTATCCGTTAAAAACATCCTACAATAAAATTTTCCATCATTTTTCTAAGCCTTATACAGGCTGATATAAAACATTAAAAAAAAAAATTTACATGGCTTTCTAAGCCACGTATGCAAACGCTAATGGTTAAAAAGGCATCGAGCGCTTTTTTGGGTATTTTGGTCATAAGCTCACTCGACCGCTAACTGTGGTTTTTCACCTAATTAAAAAAAAAAAAAGTATTATTCGCCAGTCAGATTAATGACAAAAGTGGTTAACCACGGGTCCTTTATACATGTGGCAAAGCATTCGGGCTGTGATAAACTTGATTTAAATCTTGAAAAATCCTTGCTCACGTGATACAACCAAGGTTATGCCGCAGGATATAATGCGGATACTTGACCTAAACTAACTTCTGGAGTTGTAATAAAAATGTGGGCCCGATTAAAGGTTTGAGATTTTCTTCGAACTTAACTATTTTTTTTTTTTTTTTTTAAAAAAAAAAAAATAATGAATCCTCGAATATTTAAATTTATAAAGAAAAAGCATATTGAGCGAACATTAACTCTATAGTGGCTTGTATAATGTTGATTTTTCGGAGTCGTGATAAAATATGATTGATCACACTTTATATATTTTATCGTTTTTTTACAACTCAGCCAACTAAATTCTTTTACATTAATCAATATCTAAATATTATGTCCTGAAAATTAATCAAATAATGAAAATATCATATTTTAAGGCTTATTATAAATCAAAAAAAAAAAGAATTTTATTAATTTTCAAAGTTCTGAAGTAGTAGTATATTATTATTAAAGAAGTGTTTCTGTGAAAAATTTTTAAAATAAAATTTCTTTATTAAATAATAATAATACAAAGCGAAATGGCAGGCAGAACTTACTTTTATTGTTGTTACATAATTTGTGTTGCTATTATTAAAATGCCTTTGTTAGTTATTTGTCCTGCGCTAGGTTAGTGTCCTTTCTTGATCCAACTTTGTTATTTGACTCGTTTGCAATTAAAAATAAATCAATCCTCATAAAATGTTGCAGAATATCGGAAAATTGAGCTCTATAGGATTCATCATCGTAATTTCAATGAACTCTTAGAATACACGTAAGTATCACGGAATCATAAAATGCCCTTTATTATTTAAACTTATAAATGGTAAATTTTTAATCTTTTATAACAGGTATTTAATCTTTAGCTTGTTGAACTTAAGTAAGTAAAAAAAAAAAAGCATTGTGGAATTTATTTCATCCCGTATTAAATCATTTGTTTCATTCTTCAGCCGTATACTTAATTTTCTATTTAAGCTGCGGTTTTTGCAGAAGGCGGCCAACTTGGGAACTCGCGTATGAATTTTTTTTTAATGTATCCACGTGATTTGTTCTATTTCACGAACGCTAAAAATATTTATTTCATTAAAGTATCTCATCGACTTTGTGGCTTATTATCACAAGTAAAGCTTATTCCCATCATTCAAACTTTTATATTTTCTCGGAAACAATTTACTAACATACATAACTATAAAATTACCAAGATATATATACCTATCTTACTTTAGATGAATTAAGAGAAATTCCATTCTCATGTCCATCCGATTTTGATTATCGGTTCAATTCACGTCTTACATGTAAAGTTAGAACGGCCAATTTAATTTGCATGTGGTTAATGCTAATTGCTATGATACTTGCGACATCATTTGTAATTTGTATTCCTGAGGGTGATTATGATAAATTGACAAGGAGATCCAAGGTGACTGGAACCAGAGGTTTGGGTGATGATTGTAGTAGCACACGACTTATTAGCAAGCATTACGAAGATGATGACCTAATCACCGGTGATGATGATAATAATCAAGGGTCCGATTTGTGATTCATCCCTTTATAGTTAACAATCTTTTTCTTTTTTTTTTAAAATAAAAATATATACCACAAATACTAGAATTATATAATCTTGAGAATATTTTTTTTAAAAAAAAAAAATTGATACCTGATACTTGATTTCCGCATATATCGTATCGTGCCATTTAAATTGAATGTGATGTAATCCGAATAGGGATTATTCGAAAAAAATATATCCATCTATTATTTGAATTTCATAAAGTACTAAAAAGAAATGTTTGATTTGGAAATAGGACCTTTTTTTTTCTTATAAAATGGCAACGATTTCAATTTATTATGCACAAAGAAATTAATAATAACAATTACAAAAATTAGATTTCTTTGTCAAAGAAATAATAATCATAAAAAAATTTACTTTGTATTCATTTTATTGATTACGCTTTCCATGATCAATGCAATTCCACATCGACTTCAACTTTGGTCCCGTAAATCCCGACGCATTTACTATTCCCAATACCGTTGATGTGGAACTTTATTATAGTGGTCCTAAAACTAAATATTACATGATGACAGTGAACCTCAATTAAGTCTTCAGTCCTACCGTCACGCAAAGTGGTGATGCGCCACCCTAATAAAGCTGCGTTTACTGCGTTTCCTTTGCCTTTATAATTTTTATCTTTTTTATTTATAAATTTTAAAGATCATTTTATATTAGTTTAATACGAAATTCATTTGGTATGACTCACTAATATTTATTTTATTCTGTGTAAGACACCTTTTACTGTATATAAATTTGCAATAATTTGATTTATTTATGAATGACGTTGATCGAAATAGAAAAATTATAAATTATCAAAGAGAAAAGTTTATTAAGGAAAACTTTGAGAAAATGTTTATTAAAGAAGAAAATAGTCTATAAATATTACTCATAATACAAAAAGCAAATTAATTATAAAGAATTAAATAAACTTATAAGGAAAATATTTATCAAAATTAATGCAATACTAGAAAGTTAAATAGAATTCTTAATATTAGACTTAGCTAATAGATTTTAGCAATTAAACCTTTTGATTTGTATAATGTTTTATTAATTTTTTTAAATTGAGTTTTAAAAATATATATTAATCAAATTTATAACAATAATATTATAATTTATTTAAATAGCTTTAATAAATACTGTTAATATCTCTAAATACTTTTAATTAATTAAATGTAATTTAGTATTAAATAAATAAGAAATATATAATGATAAAATATTTAAGAGAACACTGCAATTTTAAATATAAAACTAATTTATTTAACACCTAAAATATAAAAAAATTTAAAATTTTCCTATTTTAAAAAATAGTAAACAAATTAAATATTTTCAAACTAGCATCATATTATCATTAATATTATTAAAAAATTAAACTATTAAATAACTTCACAAAAAAATAAGTCAATAAAATTAAACAAATAAATATTTAAATTTATAAAAAAAAAACTAATATAAGTTTTAATGTTAGAATACCTAATGTTAAATTTTAAAAATCTTTTATTTTATTAATATTTTTAAGATAAAATAATATTATAGTTAGTTAACATAGGTGATAAATAAGTATTATAGTATTATAATTAATTATAACATTATTAAAAATCAAGTTATAACTAATTGCTAACAAGAAATAAATAAGTATTCTAGTATTATAATACTATTTTTTTTAAAACTATTATTATATAAAAGAATAATAAAGAAAAAGAAAAATAATTATATATATAAGTAATGCTAAATAAATATAAATAGAATTTTATATACAAAAATTAAATCAATCAACTATTTTCTATTATTATACTTCTTTAAATCTTTAAATATCAAATTTAATACATTTTTTAAGTTTAATATTTATCTAATAAAAAAAATTTTTGCAATTAAAATTAAGGTATAAACATAGTAACTCATATAATTCTTAATATAATTTTAATAGCAAATTTTTCAAATTTTTCAAATTTTTATAGTAACAAATAAGAAAATATAAATATAATCAGATTTATATATAAATAATTATTACATTTAGTTTGATAAGATAAAAGAAGAATTTTGTTATAAAATCTAATTAAAATATTTAGAAATAATCCAGTTATAGCTTAAACAAATTCCTACTATCCCTTCAAGCATTTTGCAGGCAAATTTGCCTACAATTTTATTTAATAATTAAAATTATTTATAATACTTTTAAATATTTTTAAAATAATATATTTAAAAATTAATATTTTTATAATAAATTTTATGATGTATTCTAAGTAAAAATTCAAAAAAAAATGTAATTAATTAGTGATATTTTAAAGATAAATATATAATAAATTATTATGAA